TGTTGGAAACGATCTGTTCTATAGCCCCATACAAGAATGTAGTCTAATATCAAATCACTCTGTATTCATGTATGGTTACACTGAGAGTTCAGTTAGCACTCTCTCGACCGCTGTGACGTCATGGCAAGTGCCTTATTCGTTTGGTGCAGCTGGACGAGCTGTGCTCGCGCACCCACTTACTGTACGTGGACGGCGACGGCGCCCTGCGGGACTGCGGCGAGCTGCCCGCCGCGCGCGGGGACGCGCCCGAGCTGCAGGAGTACCGGCGCGAGGCCGCCGAGCGCGGCCGCCAGGCGCGGCGGGCCGCCGACGCCGCGTCGCCCGCCGCCGCCGCGCCGCCGCCGCCCGCGGCCTGCGCCGTGCTGGCGGCGCAGCGCGTGGCGGGCGCGCGCACGACCCGCGCGCTGCTGGCGCTGCGCGGGCGGCTGGCGGCGGCGCGCGTGGCGTGGCGCGACGTGGCGGGCGGCGGCGGCGTGGCGCGCGGCGGCGTGCTGGGCGGCGCGCGCGAGGAGGGCGGCGGGCGGCGCGCGCGCCTGGCCACGGGCCGCGCGGCGCACGGCGCGGCCGTGCTGGGCGCGCGCCTGCTGGTGCTGGGCGGCTACGACCGCGCGCGCGTGCTGCGGGACGCGGAGGCGTACGACCCGGCGCTGAACGAGTGGAGCGCGCTGCCGGACATGCGCGGGCCGCGCGCGCGGTTCCCGGCGGCGGTGCTGGGCGACACGCTGTACGCGCTGGGCGGCTCGGACGGCCACGCGGAGCTGGACTCGGTGCTGGCGCTGACGGAGGGCCGCTGGGCGTGGCGCGCGCGCCTGCCGGTGGGCGTGTCGCACGCGGGCGCGGCGGCGGGCGCGGGCGCGCTGTACGTGGTGGGGGGCTGGGCGGCGGGCGCCAACCTCAAGCGAGTGTTGCGGTACGAGCCCGGCGCCGACACCTGGCACGAGGCGCCGCCGCTCAACGCAGGTCAGTGCACTAAAATATTTTACAGAAATTATTAATTTGTATACTTAATTCATTTATTTATTTAAAGAAAGAATATTTTCGACCCACTGATGAGTCCACACTAGTCATTAGTTCAATCATAAAATAACTGGGGCTCTCTATTAAGGTGTAGTAATATTATTGCGATGAAGCTTTACGTCCGTGTGAACGTCGCAGGGCGGTCTCAGTGCGGCAGCGTGGTGTGGGCGGGCGCGCTGTGGGCGCTGGGCGGGTGCGATGCGTGGCACTGCCTGGCCAGCACCGAGCGCCTGCAGCTGGGCGCCGGCGCCTGGGCCTGGGGCCCGCGCTGCCCACCGCGCGCCGCGCCGTGGGCGCCGCGGCCTGGCGGGGCCGCCTCGTCGTGGCCGGCGGCTCGGACGGCGCCGCCTCGCTGCGCCGCACGGACTGGCTGGGGCCCGACGACGCGGCCGCCTGGCGCCCGGGGCCCGTGCTGCGCCGGCCCCGCGCCGCGCTGGGGCTGGCCGTGCTGGAGGACGCGCTGTACGCGGTGGGAGGCTTCGACGGCAAGGAGTTCCTGTCGTGCGTGGAGTGCCTGTACGCGCCCGACGGCGAGTGGACCACGCTGCTGGCGCCGCCCGCGCCGCGCGCCGCGCTGTCGCCCGCCTGTGACGGCCCGCCGGCCCCTGCCGCGCCGGACGGGGCGACGCCGGGGGCCGAGGCGGGCGCGGAGTGACGGGGGCGCAGCCCCGGGTGGGGGCGGGAGTCCGCGCGAGGCTCGATGCCTTTACTTCGCATGTTACTACTAGTATACAAAGTCTGTGTGCAGTCTGTATATATCGGCCCTCACGAACGTAGTCTAAATGATTATATTAATGTCGCTGGAGAGTGACGGTGGGATCGTGGTTTCGTTGTTCGCGTGCTTTCCCGATGTATTATTGTTACATTCCTATTGTGTAAGATATGTGTAGTAGGACGTGGTGTGTACTGTTAGTGTAAGGTCCCGGGGTCGATGGCCGGGCGAGGCGCCGGCCGTCGTCTGCCGCGTATGTTAATAAATCGTATCTCCTCACACACGAGTTTTTCTTTCATAGCTCCTTCACTCGGATATTTACTTGAATTTACGTAATTGATTGAGGTCGTGTACTTCACAAAGCAAGAACTAATACCAAAGGTCGCTGCACTACTGACGCGGGAGTAGCTCTAAGCGGGTATTCGCCTCTTGGGAAAAAGCACGGGATGCCATCGGAATATTTTGTGATCTTTCGAAGGCATTCGACTGTGTTGAACATGAGACACTATTGCTGAAGCTGAAACACTACGGCATTCGGGGGACGTCGCTAAATCTGTTGAAATCATACCTTCAGGATAGGCAACTTAAAGTACAAGTAAATAAAGTAAATTAACAGGGTGCTAGCATATCTATGGGTGTACCGCAGGGCTCGATACTAGGTCCATTCTTATTTTTAGTGTATGTACGGTTTCATAACCGTAATGACTTGCCCCATTTATTTAATAATGATCCGCAGATGGTATTATTTGCTGATGATACTTCATTAGTTTTTAAAATAAATAGACGAACAAATAATTATGACGACGTAAATAATGTCCTAATGAAAGTTCAAAATTGGTTTACATTAAATAATCTAGTACTAAACAATAAAAATGTATTAGAATTGTTTTGCCAAATGTTAAAAGCAACGAATGTGACATATTATTGAATGGTGACAAATTAGAGTTTGTAAAAGAGACAACTTTCCTAGGAATTACTGTACTCTACTTCCTAGGAAATACCATACATGAGGGCACTGATCTCTGTGATACAGGTATTTCCTAGTACAGAGGTCAGAGTTTTTAATTTTGTACTACGACACCATGACTTGTATCAAATTAATGTAATGTGTGATGTTTAATGTAATGTAATGTAATAAAAAAAAAAAAAAAAATTATTATTATTACTGTAGACGACAAGTTGCAATGGGGTCCTCACATTACATCATTAGCGGGACGATTGAGCTCTGCAGCGTATGCTGTCTGGAAGATACGACAGTTAAGTGACATAGAAACGGCAAGACTAGTGTATTTCAGTTACTTTCATAGCATTATGTCGTATGGCATTTTGCTGTGGGGACGCGTTGCTGACATTGAGTCTTGCTTGCGCGCCGTCAGAGCTATCTACAATGTAGGTCGTCGCGAATCTCTCAGAGAAAGGTTTAAGGAGATCAACATTATGACCGTTCCATGTCAATTTATTTATGAAAACATCATGTATGTCAGGAAAAACTTACAGTTATTTGGTAAAGTGTCGGACAGACACCACTATCAAACTAGACATAAAAATAGATTAAGTCAGCAAATTTCGAGATCGGCGAAAGTAAGTCGTTCATGGGATTCTGTATTAAATGTTATAATAAGATACCAGGCGACATACAACACCTAAATGAATCAAAATTTAAATTATGTATAAAGAAAACTTTATGTAGACAAGCATATTACAAAGTTAATGATTGATTATACAGTGAATAAAAATGCTTGGATACAGGCTAGTCCGGCTCCACAGGATAACAAAAAAAAACTGATGTTTTAATGAAATCGTAAATAATACAGCCATTTTGCTAAATTGTATATTGTTTAACTTAGATAACCATTGTGAATGTGAGAGCCTAAATTAGACTAGTAGAATGCATTTGTGTCAGCTTGGAGTTGTCATGCTCACTCAAAGGTCTCATTGGCGGTGGCGCGTGCAGTGGATCGCTCGATTCCCTACAATATGGTTGAGTTGGGCGGTGCTGGTGTACGTGTCATGTTCGTGGACGGGCGCCGGCAACTGGGACTGGTCAGCTCCAGACTGTATTATTTATTGTCTTTAAGGTTATTTTCTTTTTCAATCACTTTGACTAGATTTTATTGTTACATTGTTCTCGCACAATCCAAACAGCAAACTATGTAACTAGTAAATTGTATTGTGAACCTGATTGAAAAGAGTAACCTATGGAGTTTCTTGCTCGTTCTTCTCCATAGGAATCTACACCTTGGAATGAGCAAATAGCTTCACTTTTAATTTTATTGTTGACGTCCAAAAGTGCCTTTCTGGTCTAATTGAAATAAATCTATTTATCAGTCATGTACTACACCCTGCCGACCCATTGATATGTAAGAAGTCAGTGCCACTAGCTCCGCACTAGACGAGTGACCAGTGAGCTTCATCCACGCAAGGACGTTAAATGAAATTCGTGCATACCGTAGTAATTTAGCCGCGGGAAAAAAGCTAGTATTTAAATAATTACTAGCTATAAAATTAGTTGTCTAGATGAAGTAAATGTTGTGCCTTATTTTGTATTTGTTCTTTCATCAAGTTATTCGAGATTTTGCTGGGGTAACGTTTTTGATTTTGCTAGATATTTAAAATGGTTAAGCGGATTCTTAATATATTTGGTACATGGCTTTTTATTAATTAGTTCAAATTTGTTGTGCAATAAAAAAACCAAAAAAATAAATCTCAATATAATATAATTAATCGCAAAGTCAAAGTCAAAGTCAAAATAATTTATTTCAATTAGGCCAGAATGGCACTTTTGAACGTCAACAAAAACAAAAATTTAAAGTGAAGCTATTTGCTCATTCCAAGGCGTAGATTCCTATGGAGAAGAACGAGCAAGAAACTCCATAGGTTACTCTTTTTCAATCAGGTTCACAATACAATTTACTAGTTACATAGTTTTGCTGTTTGGATTGTGCGAGAACAATGTAACACTAAAATCCAGTCAAAGTGATCAATAAAGAAAATAACCTTAAGGACAGTAATACAGTCTGGAGCCGACCAATAAAATAAAATAATAAGTCTCTAGTCTTCATACTGTATTGCAAAGGTAAGAATTTTATAAATTACATGCTTTATTACGTCCGTATGCCGATTCTTAAAACGTAGGTAGAAGGAACAACAGGGTTTTTGTTACATATTGTATAGTAGTATATTATATAATGGGTACTGTGAGGTTCAGCAGTTGGAGAAATAAAACAACGGAATATAGAATACAGATTACAACGTATATTGACTCAAAGCGTCACTGGTCGAGCTCCGCCTGCGTCTCCAGCAGTAACTGCGCCAGCGAGTGGCGCGCGCCCACGTCCAGCGTCGCGAACTCTTGCGAGCGCAGGCGCCGCGCGCACGCACTGGCCGCGCCCCCCGCCCCCGCTCCCGGCCCCGCCCCCGCGCCCGGCCCCGCCCCGCACGGCGCGGGCCGCGGCGCCAGCACGAGCGCGGGCTCGGGGGCGCGCAGCACGCGCAGCGGGGCGCGCGCCAGCACGGCGGCCGGGGGCGCGCGGGCCGCGCCGCGCCAGGCGGCGGCGGCCGCGTCGTAGTCGCTGCGGTAGAAGGCGAGCGCCAGCGTGGCGCGCAGGTTGAAGCGGCCGGTGTTGACGTGCGGCTTGCCGCCGGCCGGCGCCAGGAAGCGAGGGTGCGCGTACAGCGAGTGGCGCGCGAACCCGGCCGGCAGGTACCACTGCTCGCCCGATATCGTGTTCATGCGGACCTGCACATCGCATCACACAACGACTCTCGTCCTTAAGTGATATCACGCATGACTTCTTAACAGTCTAACGAAAAAAATCGGTTGAGTAATGTCTTGTGGAGGAGTGGTATAATACTGACCCGGTTGAGGAAGTCCTGGTTGAACTCAGCGTGCGGCGGCAGCAGTAGCAGCAGGGCGTCGCGCGACGTGTGGGGGGCGGCGACCTCCAAGGCCACGCCTCCCGCCGCCAGCAGCGCGTCGTACTCGGGCAGGTCGGCAAGGGAGGAGCCGGGCGGGCCGGGCGCGTCCAGCACGGTGAGGGTAGCACCCGAGTGTCGCTGGCGCAGCGCCTCCACCTCGCCGCGAATGGGCTCCAGCGCTGCGGTCTCGTTGGCGTTGCCCACTATCACCTATAATGACATGAATTATTTATTACATGTCAATCGAATCTAATAAAAATCACACCACTTTAACAAGATAAGTGTAGGTACCAGTATAAGTGCGGTATTCTTGTCCTGCGTGAGGCACACGGCCTCGTACCGCGCGAGGAAGGCGCGCAGGTCGGCGGGGGGCGTGGTGGGGGCCGCGGCCACCAGCAGCGTGAGGCGCGCGGACTCCGTGACGTACCGCACCGGCAGCAGCCGCGCCGCGCCCAGCGGCCGCGCCACCTCCAGCATGCGCAGGCGCGGCCCCGCCCCCGCCCCCGCCGCCTCCCGCAGCACCAGGCGGTAGCGCAGCGCGCGCGCCGGCTCCCACAGCCACGCCCCCTCCAACAGCGTGGGCTCGGCCCCGCCCCAGCGCTTAGCCGCCCAGCCCCGCGCCGCGCGCAGCACTAGCTGGAAACCGAGTAACGAGAAACTTTATTATGCAACTTTGATTGAGAGCGCCTCCATAGCGTTTGTCCAACATATTGTGATGTACATGCGCAGCGTTCCTACGACGATGACGCCGCGTATTAATTTACCCTTGAAATGGCGTGTGCGTTACCCAGGCCAGATGTTGTCGAAAATAGTCATTTGAATCTTATAGATAATTAGTTGGGCGGCTTCTGTAATTGTTGCGCACATTTTTAAATTTGTTGCGCTTATAGTGTTTTAATTATTTCAACAAACATTACCTCCTGGGGTAATGTTACCCCAGCCAGACCTTTTTCTTTAAACGGGTATATTTAAATAATTACTACCTTTAAAACTAGTTGTCTAGATAAGATTAATGCTGTGACTTATTTTGTATTTGTTCTTTCATCGGTTGCGAAGTTATTCGAGATTTTGCTGGGGTAACGTTTTTGGTTATGCTAGATCTTTGAAATGATCAAGCGGATTCTTATCATATTTTGTACATGGCTTCTTAGGAATAAGTTTAAATTTGTTCTGCAATTGGTCCCAGCACTCTCAGTAAGAGCTAAGAGTTACCGGCGAGAGTATAGGTTCCCGAGCTTCCGTAAACAATTATATTTTGGTGAAAGTATCTAGCACTGTGATTGAGTTTTTTTTCGCTCGCTCAATAATTGTTTGATTTCAAAAAGGTTTGATTAGTAGTGTTTTTTTCTAGGTAGATATTATTATCTAAAGTAGTTATTGATTGCATTTACGTCGTTTCAAGTCGTTTTGTTCATTTTTTAGATTGATTGATACAATAGCTGTATATTATTTAGGTTAGATTAGTTAAGAGCTTTATTTCAAGTGAAGTCTTTTAAATTGAAATGGGAGGATGGTATTTGTGGTAATACGAAAATAACTCTTTCTGTCTGTTGTTCTTTCGCGCCTAAACGGCTGAACGGATTTGGAGAAATTTGGTATGAAGGTAGTTTTGTCCTGGAAAAGCAAAGCTTTACCGCGACAGAACTTCTCATTCCCACGGAAAAATTTTAAAAGCGCGATCTAACCAAATTCCACGCGAACGGAAAGCTATTTGTTTGTTTGCCTGTCTTATACGGCAAAACGGAGGTACTAATTAACGTTATTATTTAACTAAGGGTAGTTGTAGGGATGGATAGTCACATAGGGGACTTTTATCCTTTTGTGACGCGAGCGAAGACGCGGGTAAAAGTTAGTAATTATATAAATCAGTGACGGGTCACCATAAACTGGCTGCAGACAGTTCAGTCTGTCGGCTCGCGAGCGTACACAACACGAGCCGTATCATGTACTTCACCAGGCTGTGTACTGTTACTGAAGGGTAACGAAGTATGGAGCATACTGTCTAACGAACACAGGGCTGAGTGCGAGTTACCGCGTGTGTAGACAGTATGGAGCATACTGTCTAACGAACACAGGGCTGAGTGCGAGTTACCGCGTGTGTAGACAGTATGGAGCATACTGTCTAACGAACACAGGGCTGAGTGCGAGTTACCGCGTGTGTAGACAGTATGGAGCATACTGTCTAACGAACACAGGGCTGAGTGCGAGTTACCGCGTGTGTAGACAGTATGGAGCATACTGTCTAACGAACACAGGGCTGAGTGCGAGTTACCGGGTCTGTAGACAGTATGTGAGAGTGTGGTTGAGTAGCAGCGAGTACTCACGTCGAGCGCCTGGCGGTGCGCGCCGGTGATGAGCGCGACCTCGTGGTGGTCGTCGGGGTAGAACGCGTGCGTCGCGTTGAACGACACCCAGCGCAAGTGGTCAAACCTGCATACATAAATATAGCAAAACTTTGATATACTTTTTTAAATTTATTTAAAAGATTAGAGTGTAGTGCAACGTCGGGGGAGGACCTGGAGTCGGGCGGCGGCGGCGCGAGGCCGGGGTCGGCGCGCAGGCCGGCCGGCCACGTGGCGTTGCGGTAGTGCGGCGGGTGGCGGGCCGCGCCGCGCCACAGGCCGGCCCGCAGGCGGCGCGCGGCCGCGCGGTCGGCCTGCAGGCGGCGCCGCGCCGTGTAGGCGTGCAGCGCGTACAGCGCGGCGGCGCGCGCCACGGGCCGGACGGTGACGGCGTCGGCCAGCGCGGCCGTCAGCGGCGGCAGCGCGGCGTCGGGCGCGCGCACGGACGTGTAGCGCGCGCCCTGGGCGCAGTCTGCGCAGGCGCGGCGCGCGGCGTGCAGCACGCAGCGGCCGATGTTCTCGTGGTGGTGCGCGGAGTACGAGTTGCGCACGCACCAGTCCAGCTGGCCGTGCACCGCGCGCAGCACTGAGTTCGACAACAGGATGCCCGCGTCTGCACAGGGCACGCACTCACTCACTACTCATACATACACATACGCTACACACACAGACTACATATAATTGCTACATAGTTGAGTACCCGCAGTACCCGCCCCCGCGCCGTCTGTCGTCCCTGAGTGTAGACGTGTGCGGTACTCCCCACCATCTCCATTGAGCGTATTATAAAACAGCCCTCCGAGATTGTATGAATAAACTCAGTACATCTCGGTACAAAGTAACATGACTACAAATAAATGCATGAAATTATTAATGGAAACAGTTACTGTGACAATATATAATTATATATGTTTTACAACTCAATAGATTAAAACAAAGATATAGACCTTAGATTACTCATTTACTTTATTTTTATGTTTTGTTAAAGTCAAGGAAAACACAAAGAACACTTTATATTACGATAATACAGGGAAACCACTGGCCAAAGCAAATAATTAAAACATAGCTTACAGATCAGATGTTGACAACAAGTATCTAAGCTTCACACAATATCACTGAGACACTTGGAGTTTACTTCAAATATTACTGATTGGTGGTTATAACGATTGGTTCTACATCCACCTTTTACTTTGCTTACACCCTTCTCCCACAAGAAGTACCTATGTATGCAGGTCTGTTACTGCTACAGTCTCCTTGGGTAACATTCCAAACACTGACTCTACTGATCTCTAACAGATGTGACCTGTAAAATCTTCTATTATATTCAACTCGAGACTTTATGCAGATGTCAAGCAACACTAATGAGTAATTATTGCAAACTATTTTTCCCAAACAAAACAAACTGTGCCTTCACTCAACAACATAGCTATTAATATCTACCTATATTGATAACTACTTAGTTTGTAAAACTAATAAATAAAATATAACACACACAGTTTACAACAAACAAAAAAGTATATAAAAACATCCTCAGCTGTGTCATCTCTCAGTACTAATCAAGTAATCAATACCACTACATAGAGATCAAACTCAAAACAATATCTCACAGGTTACTTACCCGTGGTCATTTCAATGTGTCCAACAAGATTTAGTCTTGAAAAGGAAAAACATTGGAGTAATAAGTAGGTCACAACTCTTAGTACATACTTTACTGTTACTGTATCACACGGGGCAAACAAGACTGTACATGTGATACATCTCTACATCACTCTGCACTGGACTCAGTAACACATAAACAAACTGTACTTTGACGAGTCAACAACTCACCCAGGGAGCAGTAGTGGCTGTCATCCTCTGCTACAGTGCCCATGTAGATGTCTTCACTCACACTCAGCTGAGACACCAGCTCCGTCAGGCGATGGGCATTCACATACGCTGTATCAGAGACTAGGAAGAAGAAGTCATACTCTTCTAAATAGTTGTCGGCTAAATACTTGAGAGCATGAAATGGTTTCAGCATTTCCCTGGTGTCAGTGAAGCCTACCACATTAGCCATTCCGGGTACTGAGCTTACGGCACTGGCTGTAATGAAGAACTTCAGAGCGGGCTGTAGGCGCGCCGTGGTACGGTTCAGGGCGGCTATCTGACTCTTGAGAGCCTCTTCAGAGCTCAGCACTCCGGTGAGTAGAGATCCTGTGAATGCAAGTAAAGTTATGATGGGAGTGGTCAGACACCAGGCCGCGGAGGGCGCGCGACGTACCGCGCATGCCGAGCTCGGTGCTGTAGTAGCGCGGGCGCTGCACGGCGCGGCCGGCGGCGCGCCCGCCCGCGCCCAGCGGCCGCTCCTCGCGCTGCGGCTCGTAGTCGTCGGGCGCGGCCGCGGCGCCCAGCTCGGCCGCGCAGGCGGCGGCCGTCGGCTCGTCCAGAGGCACCAGCGCCAGCGACAGCCACAGCCCCAGCGCCAGCCCCACCAGGAAGTACGAGTTGTGCTTCACTTGCGACACCACGTAGCGCGACAACATTTTGTCGACTCGTCCACGTCCACGGTCACCGACCTCGCGCTACGCACTGGACTGTCCACCACACACCGCGCCCGTCCTCGGCCAGTCGTGGCTAGTCACGGTCGCTTCGTTAATTAATAAATCGTGTATACATTTATCAGCAATTAGTGCATTTAATCTCGAGGTCACATTTGTAGCAATTTATGTTTTAGTGTAAGTTACTATCGCAAAACCACAATCAATCAGTGAGATGACATTAGTCATCCATCTGATATTTACTTTACATCTGTCACTAATGTCACTGTCAAGTCAAGTGTCTGTCAAGTCTAGTTTGACACATTTTTGTCACTGTCAGTTACTTTTGTAACTCTATGGTTACGTCGCCGGTTGTTTCGTTCTCACCTAAAATAAAATAGCAGTAGAGAAGAAACCACCTTCGTGTTTTAGTTAAGGTGTGCAAAACTCATTTTACCAATAAATTAGAGTAGCACTTACGGAGTATATTATACTAGGTTCTATGGTCTTCATTTATGGAATTCTTATACGGTTTTTTCTATGGGATAAGTGACAGACTTGAAAAAGATAAGCAGACCCAACATTATCTAAAATTTGTGAAGCCAAGAACACACATGCGCAATTTATAGCTTATAAGAGGACATTATTAGGTACCTACATAAAGATAAGCGTGTTTTTGGAAAAAATAGTCAATATTTATAAATCCTTACTTCCTTATTACTATAAAAATAATATTATAAATCGGAAAGTGAGTTTGTTAGTTTGTTCCGATTTTACGCCGTAACTACAAAACCGATTGCTTTGAATTTTTGTAGACGTAAAGTTAGAAGTCTGGATTAAATAATAGGATACTTTTTATCCCGGAAAAATTTGATATTCCCGAGGGAAAACAAAAGTATTGGTATAGATGGCGCTGTATATATTGGTATATGTCACATAGGCTACTTTTTAGAATAATTGAATAAATATCCATTTTTACTACAATTTTTATGTATTGTGTTACCGGAAATGTATGATACACCTATGAAATTTATATAATTCCGAAACTAGGTATTAGGAATCGTTAAAATCTTTATATGTTCTGTGGTTAAAATATATTAGATTGTTTTAAAAATGATTTAGTTCTGTAGTATTAAATAATTGTAATATCCTGATAATATAGAAAATGTCTAAAATATTGCTTTTTCAAATAAAACTCGTTGAAGGGAGAGTAATAATTTTTATTAAGGCAATTGTTATGGTTAAGAATAGCAGGTAATAGTCATCTCCCTTCCTTCAACAACACTGACCACTTCCAAGACACGTTCTTTCCTTGTCCTGTCTTGTTAAATTTGTGGTGTCATTTCCAAAAGGGACTCCCGGAGCGCCATCCTAACAGTACGAAGTCGCGGGCAGAAGCTAGTATCATTATAGTGACAGTCCCACTCTATCTAGGTGTAAAGTCCTCATCAATACAAATTAATCAAGCTCAAACACAAGTTAGTTAATATAAACCGCTGAGGAGTTCTCTCGACTGTCTGTCGGCTTCATCATCAGGTCGACTCCAGGCCCTTATCAAATTGTAGTGTTTAAAAATGCTAATTAAAAAAAAAATAGACACATTACTCGTCCATACAATTTTCGAAAGTTCCCCTCAGTTTCCCTAGGATCCCATCATCAGATCCTGACCTCATGGAAATGGGACCATCTCGGGAGTATACCTACACTTTCAAACAAAACAAGAATTTTGAAATTCAGTTCACAAATGGCGAAGTACTGTGCGAACAAACCAAAAAAAAAACAATTAGCCGAACATTGTTTAGATATTAAGATTTATTTTGTAACCTGGCTTTTTACACGAAATAAACATTTTATTATTATTATTATGTATGTCTTTACCATTCACGGGACCACAGGGTCCCGGTCATTTGGGAGGCGTACGAGGGGCCGAAGCCAACTGCGCAGAGGCCCTTTAGACAACTTTAATATAAATGTAATGGACACACATAAACCGGCGACTATCCCTGTATGCACTATGGAAATGCACCCAAGGACAGTCCCCGGTTAGTGTAGGACTATTGTGAATAATGGAAAAAAAAAAGGTAGGGCTATGGATGGGTTGTTGTGGACTGGTAAATTGGGAACTATGGCTGACTATGACACCTGCCGAAACAATGTAATTTTTACACGTAAAAATGGCAGGCGGAGACTCGCCAACTCACCGACCGGGCCCCGGGAATGGTTGCTAGATATAGCAACAGAGGGGCAACGAGAATGTGAGTGGCTGAAGGGTTAAGAAACTACCACCGCTTTCTACTCAGATCATCTGCTCCAGCCGAAGCCTCCTGCATCCCTGGCCCACTCGCGACTTACGAATAGTTTCTTACCCTCCGAGCAGGTTCACTGCTCTCGCGACTCCACTCTGGACGGCCAATGAAGGCAAGCCAGAGGTGGGAGACCTGTTCCTTGTCATCTTTCACTCCAGCCAGCCAATTAAGGCAAGCCGGAGAAGAAGGAACGGTGACTTCTCCCTGGAGCACTCGGGATGATGGTAGCCCGCGGGATCGCTAATGCCCGTCACCTCGCCTCAAGGTGCCCTGCGGGCTTATTATTATTATTATTATAGTACCTCCTCCTTTTTTTGAAGTCGGTAATAACAAACTTCATTGTGCGGTTCAATCCCTAGGTACTCTTACTGTACCAAACGCAAATAAGTTTGTCTATTGTTAGGTTGCCCGCAGTGGAATTTACGATGTAACTGTAGGACCGATGGTTGAAATGAGCTTGACCCGATATTATAAATGTGAAAATATGTGAGTTTATGTGTTTGTGTGTATGTTTGTTACTCAGTCATATTAAAAACGACCGAAGGACCGAAGGGACCGGAATGAAATTCGGAACAGTTAAGCTCTGGAAGCTACGCATTAAATATTAATTATGATTATAAATCTAGGTATATCTTCGCCATTTGAGGAAACTTGTTAGCTGATGACTGGTAATGGAATGCTTCTCAACAAACTGCGCTGTTTGCATAATGATCAGTAAAATATTTCCCCAGCTTCAACCAGAAGAACATTTGTAGTACGACTGTCTATGCCGGTGTTGTTAAAGCTATACCACACACTGCTCGAGTAGTCAACTTACCCGGCGCATGCTCTGCATCGAGATGAGAATATTAGGTCGCAGGTCGCGCATGCGCGGCACGTATTACTCGCGAGTTGCGTACATTTCATAGTTCAGTTTATGTTCGGTATAAATGTCTCATAGTAAAATTACCAACGCGCAACTAACATTTACCTGTTTCCTTATCTCACCTGTGCACGCGGGAGATTAGGAACCACAGCGCGTGCTCATTGTTACATGGAGCTGCTAACATGACGAGTAGCTAACCATCAAACTCGATTGCCCAGCCAATAAAGCAGCCAAACATAGGTACATAAATATCATTTCGGCAAATTGTGAAGGTGCCTAAGAGCGCCTTAATATTTTTATTTTTAGATCTAAGTTTATTTGCTAAATGGCAATACATTCATATTCACTTCTTGTGCACACTTATGGCTTTAAAAATAGATACGTTACGTTTAACCTTCCCGATATCCTATATGTATACAAACAAACACCTGCATCCCGGCAACCACGCCGGCAACACACGACTACTCCCGGCCATTGCTGCCTGTTATAAAGTTACAACAGTTGTATTGTTTTCCCGGCAGTATGTTTTGTACTGTACTTAGGTGCAGTCTGCAAGGTCGCCACTAGCAGGTCACCTCGTTAGATTTGAGGAACAGAATGCAGAACACGATCAGTAACAATGACAATATATTTGTATTAATATTAATTATAATGATGTCTACGTAAAATATAATCATTAATATTAAATAGATGTTTTGTTTGCAATTGACGATCAGTGAAACAATGCAATAAGTATCTACATACATGCATCAGCACGAATGGGCCGGCTCGACCGGAGTGATACCACGGCCGAGCAGAAAACTGACGTGAAGCAACGCTTGCGTTGTGTTTTGTCATGTGAGTGAGGTTTCCGGACCAATTACCCCCCCCCCCCCCCCAGCATCTCTGGCGCCCCTAGCGCCTCTCTATAACGTCTCTAGCGTTCTATGTGTCCATGGGCGACGCCGATTGCTTACCATCAGGTGATCCAACTGCTCGTTTACCGGCTTATCCCATAAAAAAATGTGGATGGTAGTATGGTAAGATGTTGGAAGAAGAACAAAGTGTTCGCGCGACTACACGGCGCACGGCGGCGTGATCACGTCATCTCATGGTTTATTAGAAAGAGTGGCGCCGCAGAGTGCGCACAATTCACTCGGACGAGGAAGCACGCGGGTCGCGCCGCTCACTCGAGCATTTCCACATACGCCGCATATTTGAAACGTCAAAGTAGAATTGTTCGTCAGTCGGTCCATCCGTGTGTTTAGAGTTGTCGCCTGTGAGTACGAGGAGCTACCGATTGTGTGAAGAACATGACAGTGAAGGCGCTGGAGCACGCGACACCGGGCGCGGCGGCGGGCCGCGTGCGCGGGTACCTGCGCCAGGCACTGATGGTGGCGCTCAGTAAGTGCAGCCAGTGTGGCCTCACACTCACTTCCTCACCGTTTTCTGTGACAAGGACTGGTGGCGGCAGCAGCGTGCTGATGTACCGACACCAATATCGTAACATCGCTTTGTAAAGGTAGTGCAAGCGTCGTGAAACACAGTGAGCCACTTGTCGGACACGGGAAGACATCTTAATCTGAGTAGTAATTTGTAAGTTTTGTGAGATGTAGGTAGTTGCGGATTGTTTGCCGTCCTCAAAGAGTACCATACTCTCACTGACATAGCATTTATTTGACTATAACGAGAACGACTGTTAATTTTATTTAATGAAGGTGACAAATTGACGATGATGATAGCTAGTCCACCAGTTGTTAATTAGTACTGAGGCGCCCAGTCTGAAACATAGGTCGCGACTGGTTGTAGTTTGTCGTCGTGCGCAGTGGAGGTGTAGCTGCTCGCGTCTTACTAAACTATGTAAACAGTGAGTAGTGCAGTGGTGCTGCGTCCCCGGTCTGTGTGCCGATGGAGTGTGCAATGTATGCGGTGTTGCCTCACGCCCGGCGCGCCCAGTGGGACTCAAGTACACTCATTCATAAAAATAAAATGTTTTCGCTTTACCTTCTTAGCATGTATCTTTTCCTATTACCCTGTAGGTATATTGGCCTACATGGTTTTCCATGGATATTGTGTTCCAAACTAAGTAGAGTTGTGTACGCGGTCAGTACAACGTGTGTGAACAGTAGTAGTTGCCGGTCGGTTGATGTGTGCGACGTGTGTTGCAGTCAACGTGCCGGCGGTGTCGTTCGGGCTGGCGGTGGGCTGGGTGTCGCTGGCTAGCGGCGAGTCCGGCGGTGGAGACGGCGCGGTGGATGAGACGCAGGCGGTGGTGGCGGCGGGCACCACGTACCTGGCGTCACTGGCGGGGGTGCCGCTGTGTGCGCGGGCGCTCGCCGCCGGCAGAAAGCCAGCTGTCATTGCCACCTCCGCTGCGTTTTTGGTAATTCTTTAAATTTTTTTGCATATTCATGTTTTTCTCATCAATAACGAGTCCATTGTAATTGTTATAATAACTTAATTTATTGTGTATCCAGTTGTTATTGAATTCTCGCATATTGTGTTTCGTAGGCTTGTTGGTGTCTGAAGCTGTGTGGCGGCGGATGGTGGGTGGTGGCGGCGCGCGCCTGCGCCGGTGTGGGCGGCGCGGGCGCCTGGTGCCTGGCACCGCTGCTGGCGCGTGAGGTATTAGCCGTGCGGGCGGGGCGGGCGCTGTACTGACGTGGTGTGTGTGTAGATGTGCAGTGCGGGCGGGGCGGGCGGGGGGGCGCTGTACTGACGTGGTGTGTGTGTAGATGTGCAGTGCGGGCGGGGGCGGGCGGGGCGGGCGCTGTACTGACGTGGTGTGTGTGTAGATGTGCAGTGCGGGCGGGGGCGGGCGGGGCGGGCGCTGTACTGACGTGGTGTGTGTGTAGATGTGCAGTGCGGGCGGGGGCGGGCGGGGCGGGCGCTGTACTGACGTGGTGTGTGTGTAGATGTGCGAGGAGGCGGTGCGCGGCGCGGCGGTGTCGGCGCTGGTGGTGGCGCACAACCTCGGCTTCCTGCTCATGTACCTCGCCGCCGACGCACGCGTGCTGCACAGGTGACTGCGGCACTAGCTCGGTGATATATTGCGGTGCTTCCATCGCCAGACGTAGTAAATGTGGTCGTATGAGTGTTGCAGTGTGGTACTGTGGAGCTGCCTGGCGCTGTCGGCGGTGCACTGCGCGGTGTTTCTGCTGGTACCAGAGTCGCCTGCGTACCTGGCCGCCGTCGGCAGAACTGACGTGAGTAGTCGTGGCCGGCAGTGGCAAGCGATGTGACATTGCGTGACATGACGTGACGTGCGGGGCGTGCAGGAGGCGCGCGCGCGCTGGCGTGGCTGCGCGGGCTGCCGACGGACGCGGCGGCGCTGCAGCACGAGCTGCGCGCGCTGCCGGCGCCCGACCAGCACCTCGCCTCGCCGTACAGCCTCACGAAACGTTTCTGTGAGTACCTCGTCCGCGACATCCACACGTTCAGTTCAGGGTGATGACTCAGTGTCAGGCCTTGCTAATAGAATTCCCTCAATGACCTATGATTTGAAAGATTTATAATGAATATGTATACATTCATCGATGTTCGTTTGATAGTATGTATTGTTACGAAGTTCCCTAAACCCCGATATCAAATTAATACTATTAAAACTTTTTTGATTTTGATTCTTTTTCTATTTTTTAAAGTAACAAATATTCTATTCTTAAGCATCCATACTAATGGGAAGCATCTATACTAATTATAAATGGGAAAGTGTGTCTGTCTGTATGTATGTTTGTCTTTCTTTCACGGCAAAATGGAGCGACGAATTGACGTGATTTTTTAAGTGGAGATAGTTGATGGGATAGACAGTAAGCTACTTTTAGACCCCTGTTTACCCCCCACTTCCCTAAAATGGTTGCACTATACATTATAGATAATATCTAACAATAATCCTGTTGTAAAATGTTTAAATATAGAAGTCTCATATTCACAAAAGGAATCTATGAGAAACTATATACAATATACATATATAGAAATTAGTGTTAATCACACGGAGAGTCACACGGACTGTACGCCATGCCAATGTTTCATTGAGACGGTCTGTGAACGGTGTGACGATGTGTCCAGTGAGCGAGCCGCGGCGGCGGCGCACGTTCTGGCTGGTGCTGGCGGCGGTGGTGGGGCAGGAGGCCTGCGGCGTGCTGGCGCTGCTGCAGTACGCCGAGCGAGTGTTCGTGCTGGCGCGGGACCAGGGCCCCGCCGCCGCCGGCGCCGCGCAGCTCGCCAGCCCCGCGCGACACGCCGTGCTACTCGGCGCGACGCAACTCCTGGCTTCTGTGCTAGCTCTTTACCTCGTTGAGAAAGTCGGCAGAAAGGTTCGGCCTATTTGATTTTATTCTAAATGTTTTAAACTGTTTTGGAGGTCGTGGACTGAAGAGTGACGATGGTTGGGCAGAAGCTGATGGTGTGGTGCGGAGTGGCGACGGGCGCGTGCCTGTGTGGGGGCGCGGGCGCGGTGTGGGGGGGCGCGGCGGGCTGGTGGGCGGGGGGCGCGCTGGCCGGCGCCGTGTTCGCGGACTCGGCGGGGCTGCAGCCTGCACCATACGCCATGCTGGCGGACGCGTTCGAGTACGAGTTCCGCGAGTGCGCGGTGATGTTGGTGAGCGCGGCGGCGTGGGCCGGCAACGCGGTGGAGGTGTTGGTGTTCCCGCTGGTGGCGCACGGCGCGGGGCTGGCGCCGACGCTGGCGCTGGCGGCGGCGCTGACGCTGGCGCTGGCGACGTTCGCGGCGCTGGCGCTGCCCGAGACCCGCGCCCGCACGCCGCTCCAGATATACGACGCTGTTTGCCCGCCGCCAGCGGAGCCTTGCACTACTCTCCACTCGGTCGCATGCAGTAAGGCGACGAGTACTAAAATGTGAACTGTGTAATTCGTGTCAAGAATAATGTAATGAAGTGACTAATGAGATACTGTTCAAAAATCGTTCGAGTGCCGCTGGACAGCTGCCTGCAGTCGAGCGCTACTTCCACCAGGTGGCGGACAGTAGTAGGGCGCGGGCCCTGCGAGGGTCCTACTGTCCAGTATCAGTGCCTACAATTAATGTGTAATGTAGATGACATTTTTTATTTTGTACGGTTCTCTAATTGAACATGAATGCCAATTGCCAACCAGTCAGTCTTTTAACTAAGTGGCGATTTATACAGAAAATGACTCAACATTTCAGGCATCGATGGCATACAGATCGAGTATCGTAACACGCTGCAACGGAGATACACGTGAAGATTCCAGGGCCAGCTATTGGAGTAGTCGCTGCAAAATGGTTGCCGGGACGCGGACGGATGAAATTAATACCTTCTGAGAAGGACAACCTCATAGGAGTAGTAACAGTCCCGGCAACATTGAGTGTAAATTGTGCTTGTCTATTGTTAGGTTCAATATTCGTGTAAATATAAATGCGATGCAGTCAGACGCAGTGTAACGTTTCTTTAGTCGCAAATAAATCAACATCAAGTAAAGACGTTTATTCTTTTTTTTCTAAAACATTCATCCAGTGCAAAGCAGAACTTTAACACAATAATTGTTATTATTATAGTACTGTTATTTACAATATAGAATTTTTCTTCGGATTGTTGGATGTCGGGATGTTTCAGACCGGCTAGACACTTTAGCATTGCGTAGAGATGTAGCCTCGTTGTGCATTTTCTATCGCTTATACCACGGGGAGTGCTCTGAGGAATTGTTTGACTTGATTCCTGCTGCATCTTTTCGCCATCGACCCTCACGACAGCATATGCATGTCCATCATATAGATGGTTGGCAGGCCACAACTGCGCTTCTCACGTAGCTTCCTGCCTCGCACAGCAAAACTGTGATCTGTCGTCGGCGGTATTTCCGAACCGATACGACTTACAAACCTTCAAGAAAAGAGCGTACTCCTTTTTAAAAGGTCCAACGCACCTGTGGCGCCTCTGGTGTTGCGGGTGTCCATGGGCGGCGCTTCGCTTACCATCAGGTGATCCGTCTGCTCGTTTGCCTCTTATACCATAAAAATATTGAAGATATTATTACTTTAGATAACTATACATACATGCAATAACGATGTGCTGAGCTCGATACTCAACAGGGGGAACGGTACGTATGAGAACCATCCGATGTTGTGCAATGTGTCAGTGCCTTACGATAATTGTTGAGTAGATACTTATTTTATGTTTTAAGATAGTTTTTAATTAATTTTCTTCTTAATAGCACTGAATCCGTACCTAGTATGTTTGGTAATGAGCCACATCTATTTAATGTAACTAATGACGGTACAAGATGGCGCGGCACGATGTAGGCAACTGTGTGTAGGCAGCGTGGCCCTGACACTGCAATCGATGGCGGCCGTGTTGTGTGCCCGTCGCCATGACTACCACTGTACGGCGCGGCCTGCACAGTCTGCACACAACTTATGTGCGGTGCTCGTCCTGTGAGGAAGAAGGCGCGCATCTCTCTACTCTACTGAAGATCTACAAGGTAACCTTCAATATTAGTCTTTAGCGATTTCTGGCTTCTATGTATGTTTGAGATGTACCCATATCTTGTTCAGGCCATGGGTACTACGCAAGTTGAATAGTTGCAGCTAAATACATATTCAAGGAGCATCCTTGTGATGTGAAGGAAGATTTGACCCCTTAGTAAATACGCAGACGAAGGTGGCCTTAACGAAGTAACCTAGCAGGCGACGGTGGTTGGTTACAGCGGCGAGCCGAGGGGAGGTGGCAGCATGGGCCTGCTGGACAAGCTGTCGGTGTGGCTGGGGCGCGGCCGCACCGACGTCACGGTGCTGGTGCTGGGGCTCGACAACAGCGGCAAGAGCACGCTGCTGGCCGCGCTGCGGCCGCCGGACGCGCGCGCGCCAGACACGCGCCCGCCGCACGCCGCGCCACCGTCGGACACTGTCAGGACCACTTCACCAGTACGTGCGGCGGGCGCGCGGGCGGCGCGGGCGGTGTGGCGCGGGCGGTGACGGTGTGTGTGTGTGCAGGCGGCGGCGTGTCGTTCAGCGCGTGGGACGTGTCGGGCGCGGCGCGGCACCGCGCGCTGTGGGAGCGCCACTACCGCCGCGCGCACGCGCTCATCTTCGTCGTCGACTCCGCCGACCACCTGCGCCTCGGTCAGTACTGCCACAGTGCCACATCACCTCACTCTTGCACGATTCCTCGTGGATTCAAATGCTTTGACTATATCATTTCATGACGGTACCAAATATTATGACTAACAAAATAGGCTCACTTATATACCTATTTACCGACTTCAATTTCCAAAATTCTTATTTCCTTTGAAAGGTTACACACCCGAGAGTTCAATTTTCATTAGGTCAGGATCTGATGCTGGAAAACCAGGGGAACTTTCGAAAATTGTACAAGTTTATATAAAATGATGTAACTTAATGGTCACAAAAATGTCAACAGCTTAATATTCGGTAAGTATTTGTTAAGATTTTAATGAATAATTTTGTTTAGGACTTATGGCGCCGACTTCTAACCTATCAGTACTAGTCTATCAGTACTAATAATATTTTTTTTTTGCTTTTTAGTTTATATTTTTTGAAATACAGTTTTTTTAAGTGTCAATACGTTGGTTATCTGTATAAAAGAATGCAAGCACTAAATTATAGGTACTTAATGCAACCGACGCGGCGGGCATCACTGTTACCCAACGGTGACATTGACTGGTCAGCGCTCGAGGCGGACCGGTCACTCGGCGCTGCAATGTGTATTTATGTACTTTACTAATTATATATTTACTTAATGAACGACGAGCTGTGCCCGAAATCTAATATTTTGAATATTTTACTAAATATTTTGTAAAGATAAAGGCAGAAAAGTAAAAAAGTCCGTGTACTAGTATGTCATAATGACGGAGTGGCGGTGTCGTAGTGGTGGCGCGCGAGGAGCTGGAGCTGTTGCTGGCGCACCCCGACATGTGCGGCCGCCGCCTGCCGCTGCTGGTGCTGGCCAACAAGAGCGACGCGCCGCACGCGCTCGCGCCCATGCAGGTCGCCGCCGGTCCGTACATACAATATAATATTACTCGCTACCATTTCCAATCACGAAAGTAGCTCCGATGTCAGTGTGTATGTCACAGCGCTGGGCCTGGAGCGCATCACGGACAAGCCGTGGCACATCTGTGCGTCGTGCGCGCTGTCGGGCGCGGGGGTGGCGGACGGCGTGGCCTGGCTGGCGCGCACGCTCCGGGACGCGCACCTGCCGCACGCGCACTCCTAGCTGCGGGCTCACTACGGGCGCGCGATACATACTACTACCAACAAAGTGCTGTGAAAAGGTGAGGTATGAACGAAAAATGTTATTCTCATCACCTTACAATCTATACTTATAATAAATCTGTAGAGAGGTCAATTCTGTACATAAAATATATTTAAAAAATAACTATCAAGGGGTGGTTAGGGATCGCTACTGATGCCAAAAATGCAATCAGTAAAATTTTTGTCTGTCTGTCTGTCTGTCTGTATGTTCGTTATAGAAACAAAAACTACTCGATGGATTTTAACGAAATTTGGCACAATTATTCTTCATACTCCTGGGCAGGTTATAGTATACTTTTCATTACGCTACGATCAATAGGAGCAGAGCAGTGAAGGGAAATATTGGGAAAACGGGAGAAGTTACTCCATTTTTTAAGCTTCCGTCACGTGTGCAGGCTTATAGGTCAAAGCTACTTAGAAATCATGTATGACGGAAATATTCTCCTTAAAATTATATAAATAATATTCCTCGACAGCATATGTCTACCTTTTATGGTTGATTCACAATAACACGTGAAACTCCCGATAGCTTAGCAATTCGGTGATTTCTGATTGTATTTGTCTACTCTAACGTTTACAATACTCATTCATAGACTTTACGCTGTAACTGAAAAGCCAATAGTTGAAATTAGCTTGACTCGATATTATAAATGAAAATATGTGAGTTTATGTGTATGTTTGTTACTCAGTCATATTAAAACGATCGAAGGGACCGGGATGAAATTCGGAACAGAGGTAGATTATGGTCTGAAGTGATACATAGGCATTTTACCCCTGGGATCGCGGGCGAAGCCGCTGGCAGAAGCTAGTATTATAATAAGTGGTTTGAAATGAGAGAACGGTGACATAGTACACATGGAAGAGAACGCATTGACTGGTACATGATGTCATGTCGCAGGCGTCGCGTCGCCGACACACTTACGAAGTAGCAGTAGTGTTACATGAGCATTGGCAGTAGCTATATATAGGTATACATACATCGATGAAATGTTATGATGAAATGCGTTATCTGTGTATTATGTCAGTCGAGACGAGACGAGATACTAGTGTGTAGCGTGTCATGTATCAGTGTCGATGCGAGAGGAGGGCAGTCGCCGCGCGCCGCCGCGGGGAGTTGTGAAACGAGAAGTCTGCGGGACATTATAAACTTTTTGAATATGGTTGTTGTATACTGCGACATGTTGTGCTGTGGTACGAGACCAAAGATGTGGACAATATTATCTCGATATTACTTACTTATATTAATGCACTCCTGCAAATTTAACTCGTGTTTTGTTCATCCTCAACCTGTTACGTGTGACGTAATGTACCTATTATAATAAAATAACTGTTATTATGCCGCTCTGTTACTTTCAACTCCCACCACTAGTTACTACTGTGTAGTAAAATTCTGCCAATTTTCAGCTGTCCGTCAGATGGTGAAGTAACTTCATATTGACTCCGTCTGTACCTGGCGCTCAGTAGGAAGTACCTAGATACTCACTTGTAAAAAATTGATTCGAGATCCTAGTAACCCACGTACTTAGTTTGGTAATTACGAAAGTCTCTGCTAACCCCCATGGCTATTGATGCTCCAGATCTACTGGAGTCATTATCGTGCTTTTACGTCCCAGATATCTACTGCCGGGGTAAAAAGCAGAGGCTGTTTGCCCTCATGTCCAATCCAACTAGTGATCTGTTTGCGGACGGATGGAAGGAGGTTTTATCAGAATGCTTGAAGTACTGCGAGAGGAACTTATGAATGGTGTTAACTCTTGTTTTAGATAAGTTTTACTTTTCTTTTGTTTATGTTTTATTGTTGTAAATATGTCACTTACTGTAATTGGATTTTCAGTCATTGTGACTGTTTAAAAAAAAATGGTAGACAAGCGCGAGGGTATGTATGTCTCAGACATAGACTTGTAGGAAGGGATGCATTGTGTCATTGTGTGGGAAGTTCGGTGGTAAGTACCTAGTATTCGGGCCTCACAAACACCCGGGCGAGACTGTGTATATATATATAGCGCGCGCCGTCACGACCAGAGCCGGCAGCGACTCAATTACTCGGACAAAGAGACGAGCCACCGCCGTCGCCCGCCACCGCTCGCCACAGCCCGCCACCGCCCGCCACCGCCGTCGCTTCGGGTTCCGGGTTTGGAAATAAGTTGTCTCCGGTCAGATGCACATTCGTTATCTTCCTGTAAACATTACGCTTTGGATATAAATAGAATTAAATACTTAGGTATTTGTATATCATTGGTGACACCTGCAGTAGTCGTCACTTCAGCTACGATGAGGAGTGTGACGTGTGCATGTGTATGATGTGTAGTCAGTTGTTCGTATGAGGTACCTGCGTTAGTAAGTTTACGTGTGTGTACTTTGTGTACACATGATTTATAATCAGAATGTGGTGCGAATGGCTCAGTAACTAGCGAGCGACATCGTGGCAGTACGACGCGAGGTTGGCGGACAAATATATTGGCGGCACGAGTCTGGAACAGTCGTTAGCGCAGAGAGAGGAATGAAAAAACTTTGTTTCATTATTCAGTTAGAAGGAGGAGCTGCCGAGCCGTGCAGCCGCGCGGTGTCACGGCCGCCGGACCGTGGCGAGCTGGTACTGAGCGCACTGCGGCGAGCTCGCGGGCAGCACCCCTCGACAATAACGTTACTTATTACTTACAAAAACTTACGTTTATTTCGTTGCGGGATCCAAGTAGTTATTCAAGTCCCTGGGACGCCGGACTTTAGTGGTTCGGGGTCAAAGTCAAAATCATTTATTTCAATTAGACCAGAAAGGCACTTTGGAACGTCAACAATAAAATTAAAAGTGAAGCTATTTGCTCATTCCAGAGCAAGAAACTCTATAGGTTACTCTTTTCAATCAGGTTCACAATACAATTATGTAGTTACATAGTTTTGTTGTGAGGTTACATTGGTAACCGTAAAATCCAGTCAAAGAGATCGAAAAAAAATAACCTTAAGGACAATACAATATAATACAGTCTGGAGGTGATCATTCCCAGTCGACTACGCCCGTTCACGAATATGACATGTACACCAACACCGCCCAACTTAACCATATTGTAGGGAAAATTTTGTATGCTGAAAAAGCCAACATAGCGTTTAAAATTGTTATTTAAGACCCTAATGTTACCTTTGTTCACAATTAAAAAAAAAATATTAAGTTAATTACAGGGCTCTCTACAATGGTTATCTCAGTTAAACAATATTATACAATTTAGCAACATGGCTGTATTATTCACGTGTTTGGGTTTCATTGAAACATTAATGTTTTTCCTCTGCCTCGTTGGCCGAGTAGTCGCAAGTGCGATTGCCGGGCACGGGATTTCGAGTTCGTAACCCGGATCGGGCAAAGAATTATTGAGTTTAAAAAAAATTTCAGTAGTAGAACGGATTCCGAAATTGTGCCCGGCATATGGTAATAGGCTCAACCCCTATTACATGGGACTCATAACATAAATAGTGAAAAGTGGGTGTTACATTGTACAGTGGCATAATGTGCACCTCTGCCTACCCCTTCGGGGATAAAAGGCGTGATTTTATGTGTTGTGTTATGTGATCAATGTTTTTCGTTACCCTGTGGAGCCGGACTAGCCTGCATCCAAGCATTTTTATCCTCTATATAATCATTAAGTTTGTAATATTTTTTATACATAATTTAAAATTTGTTTCATTTTGGTGTGTTATGTCGCCTGGTATCTTAATACAGAATCCCATGAACGACTTACTTACTTTCACCAACCTCAAAGTTGGCTGACTTAATCTATCCTTATGTCTAGTTTGATAGTGGTACTGTCCGATACTTTACCAAATAACTGTAGGTATTAACTAACATAGGTACATGGGCAGCACTCCGCGACCCGCGCCGCGGCGACCGTCGCGCTGCTCGAGTCTGCAGGCCCAGCGCGCCATCTGCCGTGATTCACGCGCACGCACCTCTATTTGTAGTATCGGCGACGGCGGCGCGCGCGACACTGTTGGCACGTTAGACTGTATGTTACCCTGTATTTGCGTCGACCCGGGATTCGAACCCAACACCAACGCAGCTGCCGGCGGGTGAGTCTACTCTAGACTGTATCTACTCTAGATCCTGGCTAACAGGAGTTGCAGCGGTTTATGAAGATTTTGGCGGGCTTGTCCCATTAAGAGAATATTTATTTATAAATTGTGTACACGATACATTCCTCACCTAATTCCAGCCTCTCGGTTGCTTTGGAATACATTCAACATATTGTAATTATGTACAAGTTATAGCTAAGTCGTCCTTTGTTCCTCCGGAGTCCTGGTGGAGCTGCCTAACAACTTATGAGAAGTTAAAAGAAAAAATTGTATAACGAGTGTAAAAAGGTTTCTCAAGTTCTCAGTTATACCTGTACGTTTGTATGTAAATGCCATGGAGTAGAAAACTAGTTTTTTCTATTCCATCTCCATGGTAAACACCGTAAAGTTTAGAAAGAAATAAAATGTTTAAAACAAAAAATACTGGTGAACCATTGCAAAACGCAAATTTCGAAAGCGCATACGAACTCACAGTACATAATCAAAACATCGTGTCACGTTGTTGTCGAAGAGATATTTGTTGGTGGGCGGCACGTGCGATGCGAGTAGTGCCTACAAATCTACATTTAGTGTTTCATGTGCGTAGAAAATATTATTAAACTAAAAAAATGAGATCTTACCCGCGAGACGAGAACGAAATAAATTGCACGGTGTTGCGTGATTATGTCACTATTGTCTAAACCTATTTCGATGCGGTGTTCAGGAAGATGATTGCTACACTTAAGAGAAGGTTTCAGTAATTGACTAATTAATCGACATCAAAAAAGAGAAGGGGATGAAGTCGGGTTTTTTCAACTAAGTTTATAAAATAATTATTTAGTGTAGTCTTCATTTTAGGATAACACAAATTGTAATACCAACATGTAGTGAATTATTCTTTGTCTATTAAATGTACCTACATAATCACTCAGGTTATGTAATGGTAATGAGATATGGAGAAAAAAATGTAAAACTGTAGAAGTATGAAGTAGTTAGTTGAAGTTTATATGAAGTGGTAAACAGGAGCCGGCGAGTGGTCGCGGCCGCCGCCTGCTGCCGGCGCCAGTCGGGTGGCGGCCGCGCGCCAAACGACACGCGTCCTCGGCGACACCCGCCACACGAGCCACGCGACACACTGACACTCGTCTACTCGCGATCGAGTTTGTTATTGTCAACAGCTCCCTTACTAAACGTTACATGTATAACAACAACATGTGCGCACTTTGTACGAGTTTGTAAAGTTTTGTTGTGACAATAAAGTTAGTGGGCTAAAGTTGCGAGCACTGAGCTCCGTACTGCTTGCATGCTGAGTGAATTAACAGAGCAGTGAGGTACAAGTAGTGCTCTTTGGAAACGCAATGATAAGTACTCTCTACTCTTCACGTAAACTATGTGAGTTCTTACTGTGAGTGATATACCCTGGCGTGTAGTGAGCGGTACGTTGTGGGTGGCAGTATGGCGGCAGGACAGTGGGGCTCATCAGCCGCTCACGGTGAGTACCTACTATAATAAAACCAATGTGTTGTTATCACATATTTTATCAACATTGGATTTGTCTCTTAAGAATAATTATTGACTAATTCCAAGGATCACTTACTGATAATGTTATGTTCGCTGATACTGCGCGGGGTCAAACTCTACGACTGCCTATTGTGAGCTGTGCAGCCTTGTAACACTGCTGGTGGTGTAGCACGTCTCCACCATCACCTGGTGGTGTTGGCGTGGTACGGTGCCCATATATTTCCACCGCTGTACCTCCCCACTAGCAATCCATACGATGACAATATGTACATCAGTGGACATATTTGATTATGAACAACAATATAATGGATTACATTGTTTGGGCCACTGTTACGTAAGCAAACATTTTCTGTCGAAGATGAGACGTTGTGGTCGGGAGCTCGCGCCGCTAGCGACAAGTCCGGAGTGAACCGACCTCACAGTACTTACATACTTACTGTTACTTACATAGGTACGTCTAAACACAACATTTTTGGTTATTGTTGGAAATTTCGAAATAAATCTCAGTTCCGTTTACATTGTAGTAAATTACAGGCGCGACTTGTGTGTGTGTGTGTTACTGATGGATTTATTACATACAATATGTACCTACACATCGTTAATGAAGTGAAGGAACTGGGTTCAGGTGGTGAGAGGGATTCATTAAACTGACGCGACGTGCGTACACACAGTATAGGTATACGGTACACTAGCAACTAGCAAGTTCCACGTACTGCTCGCACAGATTGGTTTGCCTACACTAGTTACACACCTAACTTAG